GTGAAGGAAGAGGACAAGATGGAAGGAGGGAGGAGGGCGATTGGAAAGGGTAAAGAGAGGGGTAACGCACGGAACTAGAAGAGAATAGAGAAGACTGAAGGTGGGGAAGACATAGCACATAAAGGGGGGAGGGGGGAGTGTACTTAGCCTCTTCTCTTTCACAGACGAAGGAGAAGAGGTTAAGGACAGAGAAGAGGAAGAGGAGGAGAGAGAAGTGTGTACAAATAAGCAGAAGGGAGAAAAGATTATGTAGGAGAAACTAGCGAATGAGAAGAAGAATGAGAAGTAATAGAATGAGAAGGAGAAATTAGCAAATGAGAAGGGGAAACTAACGAATGAGGAGGAAGAGGGGGAGGAGATATGCAGAAAATGTCTGTAAGGTGAGAATGAAGGGGAAAAAAGAGTGGAGAATAAAGACGGATAAGGAGACAGGGAGAAGGAAGATGAGAGGATTAAGCGAACTGGTTAAATTAAGATAAAAAAGAATGATGGACGCAGTAGTGAGTATAAGACAAATTTGAGAAGCAGAAGAAAGGAACAGGGAGAAGCAAAAAAGATGGACAGTTAATAATGACGGGATAAAGCAAGGGAGAATGATAACTTACAGGACAGTGGTTAAAGGTGAGGTGAGCGAACACAAGAATATAAGGAGGAGAGGAAGGAGGAAGGAGGTGGAGGAAGGAGGTGGAGGAAGGAGGTGGAGGAAGGAGGTGGAGGAAGGAGGTGGAGGAAGGAGGTGGAGGAAGGAGATAGATAAGGAGGAGGTGAAAGAGTAGGTGGTGGAGGTTGAGGGTTGAGATGTGGAAGGAAGAGGAGGAGGAGAAGTTGGAAGTCTTGATAGAAGGTTAAGGAGGAACAGAACTTCAACACTGACAGCTACAAGTAGCAGAAGATCCATAATGGTTGCTAGAAATCAATCCCAACAAGTGTAAGGTAATGGAGATGGTAACGGGAACTAGGAGTGCAGGAGGCATCTACTCCACAAGGGGAAGACAACTACAGGAATAGGAGAAAGAAAAGGGTTTGAGGAGACATACTTCCAACACTATCACAGAGGCACACATAAACAGGGTGACATCAGCAGCATATGAGACGCTGGCAAACATTAGTACGTCGTTTAGAAACTAAACGAGAACTCTTTCCAGACAATGTACACAACCTTCGTTAGACCAGTAAAGGAATATGCAGCACCGGTCTGGCATCCGCTCCTTGTGAAACATGAAACTTAAACTGAAAAAGTACAAAGTTTGCCATAAGATTAGTGGCAGAGCTAAGAGGTCTGAGCTATGAGGACAGGTTAAGGGAACTAGTCCTCACAACCCTGGGTAGGGAGAAGAAGCAGAGAAGACATGATCACAACATACAAGATACTGAGGAGACTTGACAAAGTGGACAAGAACAGCCTCTTTAAAGTGAGAGAAAGTAGGACCAGACAACACAAGTGGAAGCTGCTAACACAACACTTCTCGGGCCAGGAACGGACGGTCGACAAGGCCAATGTTCTGACAGAAGAAGTTGTAGAAGCCACCTCCATCCACAGCCTTATCTTGAGATGATTTCCGGGCTTTAGTGTCCTCGACCAGGCCTCCACCCCCAGGAAGCAGCCCGTGACAGCTGACTAACACCCAGGTACCTATTTTACTGCTAGGTAACAGGGGCATAAGGTGAAAGAAACTCTGCCCATTGTTTCTCGCCGGCGCCCGGGATCGAACCCAGGACCACAGGATCACAAGTCCAGTGTGCTGTCCGCTCGGCCGACCGGCTCCCCTTAAGGCCAGATTCGGCAAATCATTTAAACGTCAGACTACTTAAACTGTCAGGCAACAGTTACAACAAGACCAGTAGGCGGGGAACCAGGAGCTAGACCTCACCTTTCCGTCGTTACTTATATGTAAATACTGGTAGATAAGTACAAGAGGGAAAGGAATAAAAAAAGGTGTTCTTAAAGACTAAAAGTCAAGAAGAGGGAACACGTGGAAGAGGAGCGAGAAGATGGAAGAGGAAGAGAAGAGGGAGAGGAGATGGTATTGACGGTCATTGGGAGCTGTTTAATGTGCTATTGATCACAGCGTCTGACCACCACACCAACATCACTCTCCCTAATTGTTCACCGCTGCCAGAGTGATTGGCAGCGGTGCTGGGAGAGTGATTGGCAGCGGTGCTGCCAGAGTGATTGGCAGGGGCGCTGCCAGAGTGATTGGCAGGGGTGCTGCCAGAGTGATTGGCAGGGGCGCTGCCAGAGTGATTGGCAGCGGTGCTGCCAGAGTGATTGGCAGCGGTGCTGCCAGAGTGATTGGCAGGGGCGCTGCCAGAGTGATTGGCAGCGGTGCTGGCAGAGTGATTGGCAGCGGTGCTGGGAGAGTGATTGGCAGCGGTGCTGGGAGAGTGATTGGCAGCGGTGCTGCCAGAGTGATTGGCAGCGGTGCTGGGAGAGTGATTGGCAGCGGTGCTGGGAGAGTGATTGGCAGCGGTGCTGGGAGAGTGATTGGCAGCGGTGCTGGGAGAGTGATTGGCAGCGGTGCTGGGAGAGTGATTGGCAGGGGCGCTGCCAGAGTGATTGGCAGCGGTGCTGCCAGAGTGATTGGCAGGGGCGCTGCCAGAGTGATTGGCAGGGGCGCTGCCAGAGTGATTGGCAGCGGTGCTGGGAGAGTGATTGGCAGGGGCGCTGCCAGAGTGATTGGCAGGGGCGCTGCCAGAGTGATTGGCAGGGGCGCTGCCAGAGTGATTGGCAGGGGCGCTGCCAGAGTGATTGGCAGCGGTGCTGGGAGAGTGATTGGCAGGGGCGCTGCCAGAGTGATTGGCAGGGGCGCTGAGAGAGTGATTGGCAGCGGTGCTGGGAGAGTGATTGGCAGCGGCGCTGCCAGAGTGATTGGCAGGGGCGCTGCCAGAGTGATTGGCAGGGGCGCTGCCACAGTGATTGGCAGGGGCGCTGCCAGAGTGATTGGCAGGGGCGCTGCCAGAGTGATTGGCAGGGACGCTGCCAGAGTGATTAGCAGCGGTGCTGGGAGAGTGATTGGCAGGGGCGCTGCCAGAGTGATTGGCAGGGGCGCTGCCAGAGTGATTGGCAGGGGCGCTGGGAGAGTGATTGGCAGGGGCGCTGGCAGAGTGATTGGCAGCGGTGCTGGGAGAGTGATTGGCAGGGGCGCTGCCAGAGTGATTGGCAGGGGCGCTGCCAGAGTGATTGGCAGCGGTGCTGGGAGAGTGATTGGCAGGGGCGCTGCCAGAGTGATTGGCAGGGGCGCTGCCAGAGTGATTGGCAGGGGCGCTGGGAGAGTGATTGGCAGGGGCGCTGCCAGAGTGATTGGCAGGGGCGCTGGGAGAGTGATTGGCAGGGGCGCTGCCAGAGTGATTGGCATGGGCGCTGCCAGAGTGATTGGCAGGGGCGCTGCCAGAGTGATGGGCAGGGGCGCTGGGAGAGTGATTGGCAGGGGCGCTGCCAGAGTGATTGGCAGGGGCGCTGCCAGAGTGATTGGCAGGGGCGCTGCCAGAGTGATTGGCAGGGGCGCTGGGAGAGTGATTGGCAGGGGCGCTGCCAGAGTGATTGGCAGGGGCGCTGCCAGAGTGATTGGCAGGGGCGCTGCCAGAGTGATTGGCAGGGGCGCTGCCAGAGTGATTGGCAGGGGCGCTGCCAGAGTGATTGGCAGGGGTGCTGGCAGAGTGATTGGCAGGGGCGCTGCCAGAGTGATTGGCAGGGGCGCTGCCAGAGTGATTGGCAGGGTGCTGGCAGAGTGATTGGCAGGGGCGCTGCCAGAGTGATTGGCAGGGGCGCTGCTAGAGTGATTGGCAGGGGCGCTGCCAGAGTGATTGGCAGGGGTGCTGCCAGAGTGATTGGCAGGGGTGCTGGCAGAGTGATTCCTCATCCCTCCCTCCAGCACTCTTTCTCTCTCTCTCTCTCTCTCTCTCTCTCTCTCTCTCTCTCTCTCTCTCTCTCTCTCTCTCTCTCTCCCTCTCCCTTTTATTCCCTCCACGTACTTCCTTTCTCTAACTTTCTATTATCCAACATTCACATTTTGTTCTACCAACATTTGTAATATTCCTTTCTCTCCCAACTTTCCCCTTTTCTCGTGTTAGTCCCTTCCTCCTTTATTTCTCTAATCTTCCTCTCTTCTGTTCCGTATTTTATCCTCCTTTTTTCTTATTCTTTTCAGTACTCTTCTCTGTTTCATTTCTTCCGAATTGTCCCCTATTCCCGTGTTATCTTTATCAGCTCCATCTCTTTTTCTTTAGCATCTTTATTTTCCCATTCTTTATCTTTTCCACCTATATTCTCAATATCTTAATTCTCCCATTATTTTTTCTTGCCAAATATGTATTTTCTCCCGGGTCCTTTTTATCAATTTTACAACCTCCTCCTCCTCCTTCCTTTTATTCCCTCTTCCCCTCCCCATCACATTCCCTTTCTTCTCTCCCCCTTATCTAATCCTCCCCCCCCTCCCTTCCTATTCCCCCTTCTCCATTAAAGTCAGGAATTATCCTGCTTCCCCCCCCCTCCCTCCCCCTCGACAATCAAGGCCAATATATCGCTAATTACCTGATAAACGGCAACATTAAATGTTAATCAGAGTAGGTGTCTGCCTGTCCCGCCAATCACCTCACAGACGACGAGCCTAAATCTTATTTTCCCCAAATTTTTTTCATTTGGAATTTGGAATTTAGATGACGGGGCAAGATATCATCGCTGGCATGTAAGGTGGTGAAGGTTCCCGCCAAACACACACCGAAACTACGACGTTGGTACGACGTTGGAACAAGTTTTAACACCTCCTAACCAGTTATAACAACCAATATAGCAAGTTGTAACAACGTTCTAATACGTCATAAACACGTTAAGCCAAGAGGTAACAACATTATTACAAGTTGTAACAAGCGGAAAATAGAGACAGTTTCGGTTTGTGTTTCCAGGGTTGTTGCTGGCTGGTTGTGGTGGTTGTGTGTTGTTTAGGTCCTAAGGGTTGTTTGGGGGGGGGGTCATTATGTCTACTTGTATAGGGGGATACACCCCCCTTCATCAACCATCATCATGAGGGGGGATACACCCCCTCATCAAGTGAATATATTCATTACCAAATCTTCACTTCTCATCTGTGGGGCCCAAACCCCATTTCATCTTATCTCCCGACACCTTAGTGCTGAGTCACCCTTCTTGCTTACTCATTTATTCACCCAATTTCGTCTCCATTAGTAGCTTTTTGTTCCTCCTCTTCTCTCAGAAGCTCCGAGTGTTGTCTGCACTACTCCCCTCCCCCAGTTCCCCCTCTCCCCTCTCCCCTCTTCTCTACTGGCCTCATTTTACCTCAGTTCCCCTCCTGAACACGGATTTTATTTTCATTTATATTTATGTTATATTTTTAGACATGTGTCTGCTGTTGACAGTTTATTAATAAAGTCTGCTTCTATCTTGTTATATATATATATATATATATATATATATATATATATATATATATATATATATATATCAGACCACGGAGGAAAAATGAAACAGGAATTTCCTTAAGTACTTTCGTATATTAATACATCTTCAGAAGGAGTACTCCTTCTGAAGATGTATTAATATACGAAAGTACTTAAGGAAATTCCTGTTTCATTTTTCCTCCGTGGTCTGACATTGTCACATTTTTAATCACGTGTTTATTTTCGTGATATACACACACACACACACACATATATATATATATATATATATATATATATATATATATATATATATATATATATATATATATATATATATATGTCGTACCTAATAGCCAGATCGCACTTCTCAGCCTACTATTCAAGGCCGATTTGCCTAATAAGCCAAGTTTTCATGAATTAATGTTTTTTCGTCTACCTAACCTACCTAACCTAACCTAACCTAGCTTTTTTGGCTACCTAACCTAACCTTACCTATAAATATAGGTTAGGTTAGGTTAGGTAGGGTTGGTTAGGTTCGGTCATATATCTACGTTAATTTTAACTCCAATAAAAAAAAATTGACCTCATACATAGAGAAAAGGGTTGCTTTATCATTTCATAAGAAAAAAAATTATAGTAAATATATTAATTCAGGAAAACTTGGCTTATTAGGCAAATCGGGCCTTGAATAGTAGGCTGAGAAGTGAGTTCTGGCTACTAGGTACGACATATATATATATATATATATATATATATATATATATATATATATATATATATATATATATATATATATATATATATATATATATATATAGATATATACTCTCTCTCTCTTTCCAGCCTCCTAAAAGGAAAGGACTAATAGTTACTGAGAAAATTAGATAGAGCTATGAGTAGGATGCATGTAGTGATACCAACATATAGTGATGGACCACCAGAATGTTGACTTTTGTGTTATGGAATTTGTATAAATCGTAATTTTTTTTTTATCTGCACCCATAAACGCAAGACCTTTCGTAACCTAGTAATTCTAGGCCTGATACACGGTATCTTAGGCCTAATATAGTATTATAAATAATAATATATTTATATTTGCCTGATATATATTGCTACATTAGGCCTAGGAATATTTAAGTTTGATTTTTAGCTTCATTTTATCCGGACTCTATAAAATTAATTGTACAAAGATAGGTTTACTGGTGCTCTCTATATATGTATTTCTTTGTTTATTTATTTATTTTCTATAATATGCTTTAGGTTCTTAAGAACACACTGTTGGAATCACATTTCTGAAAAAGCAAGAAAGGTATTTGAACTTTATAAGCAAAATGTTCTCTCAACTTCGTTAAATAATGTTTTAAAATTTGAAGTCATTTGGGTGTTATGGGTATAATACTCTTTTGAGCCCTGGGAGATATTAATGACTTTTATGAGGAATAGCTTTCAGACCCTCTAAGGCCTCTGAACAGTGGCTTATGCTTTACTCTTGTTGGCCTTTATTGGCCTTTATTGGCCTTTATTGGCGGTGCTGTCAGCTTCAGGCACCACCGCCATTTTTGTCACCACTACTACCACCACCATCACCACTACTACCACCACCATCACCACTACTACCACCACCATCACCACCACCACCTCCACCACCATCACCTCCACCACCATCACCTCCACCACCATCACCACCACCACCACTACCACCACCACCACCACCACCACCACCACCAAACCTCGCATCAATAAGGGCTACAATCACCTGTCCTTTATTAGTTCTTCTGAAGATTTTGGTGATTACTGGTCGACACAAGCCATTGTGAGGGTCGTGTGGGGGGTAGCTGCACCCCTCCCCTTGATTACCTGAGTGGGGGGGGGAGGTGGAGGGAAGGTGATGGGAGGGAGTGGAGGGAAGGTTAAGAAAGGGAGGGGAAGGAAGAGAAGGAAAAAGAAGGGGAGGGGAAGGAAGGGGGAAGGGGTGGAGGGAGAAGGAAAGGGAGGGTAGGGAAGGGAAGATGCGAGAGACACGCCGGAGACACCCAGCTGTCAGAGGGTCTAAGATTAGATACAATAGGATAAGTGAGAAGGAAGAAAGGGTAAAAAGGGCTCCAATTGGCCCTCGAGGCTGAGAGACAGTCGATAGTTAAGACACCCCAATGACGTCAGATAGTTTGATAAATCGAGATAACCAACTACTTCACGACAATAATAAGAAGAATGGTCCTTATATCCGGGGGATTAACTTGCCTTCTACATACTAAACAGACGTGTCTTAATAAGCGTTGTTTTCTAGGTGGTAAGTAAACTAAGTCACATATTTAATGTTGTCTTGTTAAACGGGGTTCTTTGCTCAGATATATATTTTTTGTAACACAACTCTATTATTTTTTTTTAACTTCTGTACCAGCAAACGTTTTATCGAACAAGTCTTTTAAATCCTATTACTTTGTAAATTTCAGAGAGCTTTTGTGTTTAAAGTTTTAGTTCTAATATGTTTTTGTAATGGTGTATACCAAGATGGGCCTGTTCTATTTTGTATGTTCCTGGAAACTTGTATTTACTGATAGTAAACTGTATAATGTTGTCATGTTGTCTGATGTAGTTTTCAGATAGTATGCATTGTATGATTGTGAATAGTTTCACTGTGATTGTCTCTCTCTCTCTCTCTCTCTCTCTCTCTCTCTCTCTCTCTCTCTCTCTCTCTCTCTCTCTCTCTATCTCTCTTTCTCTTTTTCTCGTTCTTGCTTGTTCTCACATATTTTATCTCTAGTTCCCACTTATTTTACGAGACAAAGAGCCAGAATCCGCCTTTTCGTCTCAAGAACGCCGCATCGCTCAGGCGCCTTCATGAATGTCAATAAAATCGTGGCGCGTTCCTTTCTGCTGTGCTGCGAGGTGCTGGTTGCTGGGGCAGTGTTCCCTGTCCCACAAGGGAGAGGGAGAGAGAGAGAGACAGACAGAGAGAGAATATGTGTATGTATGCGAGAGAGAGATCAATAAATTAACAGAGAAATGCAACTGAATGATTTGAGTAAATGACAGAAAAGGAACATATTTGTTCAGCCTCGTTGAACTAGCTCAGGAATTATGTACTTAAAAGTAAATAACAAACACCATACAAGTATTGCTGTCTTAAGATCACACGCCAAGTCTTCCTCCACAGTTACAGACATTTTCAGAACAAAGTAGATATGATAGAAAAATAGATCCAAAATCATTGTATTAGACAACCAGTGGATGGAAAGGCTGGACCATAGAGCTATAGCTCGATCCTGCAAGTACAGATAGGCGAATACACACAAATATCTCACGAATTTATGCAAAGTCAAACACTAATTGTTGATCTTGAATGATAGATTAATTTGCCATTAGAGACTTTTCTGTGTGTGTGTTTTTGCATCGCCAATTGAACTTTGTAAGGTAATTTATTCTCTTGGGCGCTGTACCCCGCTCGTAGATGTGGGCCGGGGGGGGGGGCATAATGTGTAAGTATGTCTGTCTGTTTACAAAATAAACAGCTTAGCAAACATGTGCTTAATATCACCTTTGGTTTGGATTATATGTTTTGCTCCACTTTCTCCATCTTCTTCTGAATTCTCCCCCTCCACCTCCCCTTCCTCTCTTCCCCTTCCCCCCCCCCCCTATACCTGGTGATCCGGGTCTCGCCCGGGTCGTAATTTAGGGACACAAAGCGAGTATTCTTCCCCCGCACATTGTCAGTTCCGTCCCGCGCTGCAAATTCTTCCCCGCCATCGCCGCGAGGTGCCGGGATAGGCATCCTCATATTTCTTATAATCTCCGAATTTTTGCTTCCAGAAATACAGTAGAAAATGTAATAATAATAATAATAATAATAATAATAATAATAATAATAATAATAACAATAATAATAATAGTAATTATAATGATAATAATATCGTTATCATTATTACCGTGGTTATGATGACTGGATATCTGGTGTCAACACTGTCCTTTAAGAAAGAGAAAGTAGCTTTTTGGAGGAGCAGGAGCATGTTACCGGAGCATGTTACCGGAGCATGTTACCGGAGCATGTTACCGGAGCATGTTACCGGAGCATGTTACCGGAGCATGTTACCTGAGCATGTTACCGGAGCATGTTACCTGAGCATGTTACCGGAGCATGTTGCAGGAGCATGTTGGAGAAAGATCTTGCAGGAAGAGGAAGGTGTTGTCCTTCACAGCCACCCGACCACTACAGCAGACGTGCAGACACGAGCAACAAGCCTGAGTGAGAGGGGCTGCAGGTAGACTGCCAGAAGCAGGTGACAGTTGTTACCGTGCAGTAATTGCTCAAACACGAGAGTCAAGGGAATAACAGGTAAGGTAGGGAGGTGGGTTTTAAATGTTCTAATAAGTATATTACAATTCCACACCGTTAAAAATGCAACTGTTTACCTAACCAGAAAGGTACGAGTTCAGGCAACTTAGCAAACGTCAAAATTACGATGCTTTAAATTGGGTAAAGCGACGGTCTCGGTTCTCGCAGGTCGACGTTCAATCCCCGACTGTCCAAGTGGTTGGGCACCAGTCCTTCCCTCCCCCTTCCCATCCCAAATCCTTATCCTGACTCCTTCCTTCCAAGTGTTATATAGTCTTAATGACTTGCCTCTTTCTCCTGATAGTTCGCTTCCCTTCCCTTCCCAAATGCTTGCCTTAACCCACTCGCCCACGATAGGACAAAAGCCATTCAACCAGGAACGCTGTTGAGTCCGCTATGGGGTGTGTGGGGGCTCGAACTGGTGCCACAAGCAGGCTTCACAAGTAGCCCGCCTGGCCAGAGGGTAATGGTGTTACCCTTCACTATACGCTTACTCTTCACAACAAAATAAACCACAAGGCATAATATATCAATGAAAAAATAATTATGATTTTTAATTACGATTTCATGCCATTATTATTATTTGGTGCAATTGCACGATGCTTTGCTTGCAATCACCAAGCAAAGACTGCCAGGCCAGACTGCGATAGAAAAACTATCGAAATTATCTAGAGGTACTTGCTACAGGTAAACAATCCCTATTAGTGTAAAACATGTCTTAATGGGAGTGAGAGAAAATGGTGAGAGAGAGAGAGAGAAAAAAAAGAAAGAGAGAGACACACACACACACACACACACACACATTTGAGTGTTAAGTTTATCCACTGAACACACTAATATTTCTGGCACTTCTGGAGTTCACAGGTGAACAGGTCTGGTGTGTATATATGAACCAAAGCCAGAGCAACAGACAGAAACATACACAGACCTTCATGAAAACATTTATAAGTTCAACCAACACGAAGACTGGTGCTAAGATACACCATGGAAGGGGGGGGGGCGAGGCAGTGTACATAGTAATAATATTAACAAATAAACAAATACAGGGATCACCAAAGACCCAACAATTTCTTGAAAGGAGAACAGATGAGGCTCCAACACGTAAACAATAGTGTAATTTACACAGTCACGGACATTTTTCTTTATTTATGATGTCTTTTTTTTCCCCCTTAACGACAGACGTAATCACTTGGCGTAACTAGTTGGTTATTAGTAGTGGTGTCCTGTACGGGGGTAATCACTCAAGGTGAGACAGAGGAACATGGGATGACCTTTGATGACCTCCGGGATGAGTAGACTTGACCTCGGCAAGTAGAGATTTTTTGGGGATGATTTCCAGTGTTGGAGACCAGAGGTGAGGTTAAGCATTTTCCGATGACTTCTGACAACCTGCTGGGTTAGGGTGGTTAGGTTAGGTTAGGGTGGTTAGGTTAGGTTAAGTTAGGGTGGTTAGGTTAGGTAGGATAGGTTAGGTTAGGTTAGGTAGGTTAGGTTAGGTTAGGGTGGTTAGGTTAGGTAGGTTAGGTTAGGTTAGGTAGGTTAGGTTAGGTTAGGTTAGGTTAGGTAGGTTAGGTTAGGTTAGGTAGGTTAGGTTAGGTTAGGTAGGTTAGGTTAGGTTAGGTAGGTTAGGTTAGAATATGTTAGGTTACCTTAGGTTATGTAAGTTAAGTTTGGTCGTATTTTACATTAATTTTAAGTCGAGATAAACACAAGTAAAATCCTATATGTAATGTAATGTAATGAAAACTTTATCATTCCATTTTTTATATAAAAATATATTATTTCAGAAAAAACTCGGCTTGTTAGGCAAATTGGGCCTTGCATCCTAGGCCAAGTAGTGCGTTCTGGCTATTACTCTATAATAGCTTCTGGTTAATCACCAGAACACACACACACACACACACCACACCGGTGTGTGTGTGTGTGTGTGTGTGTGTGTGTGTGTGTGGGCGCCGGTAGCTGTGTAGATAGCACGCTGGACACGTAATCCTGTGGCCCGGGTTCGTTTCCTGGCGCCGTCAAGAAACAATTGGCAGAGTTTCTTTCACCCTGATGTGCCTGTTACCTAGCTGTAAATAGGTACCTGGGAGTTAGACAGCTGTTATGGGCTGCTTCTTGTGTGTGTGTGTGTGTGTGTGTGTGTGTGTGTGTGTGTGTGTGTACACTCCTCAACTACACCTCCAGCACAGTACACCTCACAACCTACCACTTCCTACACCTCACACTTAACACCCTACACGCCCACCCCATAACCCAGCCTGCACCACCCCCACTCCCCCTGCCAACGATCACCAGCCCTCGCCCCAGTGGGGTGAGAGAGGGCTGGGGTGTGGGGGGAGG